TAGTGGAATAATTCGCCTCGGCACGGGATAGAGAGCGGCTGGCGTAGGCTATCACTCTTTCGATGTCCTCTTGACGCTGAACGAGCACTGCACCGAGCCCAATGTTACTAGCGTCGGTATGGACCTCCGTGTCAGCATCATCGTCGAAATGAGCGAGAACGGGCGCTGATTGCATGCGCTGTCGCAGCTCATCAAAAGCTGCTTGTTGCTCGTTTTCCCAGACAAACGGCGTGTCGTCCCTTGTGAGACGAGTCAGAGGTTCTGCTATCTGTGAAAAGCCATGAATGAATCGGCGATAGTAGGCGCACAAACCAAGGAAGCGCCGGACGGCTTTCTTATCGACAGGAGCTGGTAATTCGGCAACAGCGGCAAGCTTGTCCGGATCGGGACGGATTCCTTCGGCGCTAACTACATGTCCAAGAAATTTTAGTTCTTTATAGCCGAAGTGGCACTTCTGTGGTTTTAGTGTGAGGTCCGCCGATCGGATAGCTTCCAGCACGCTGCACAGGCGGTGAAGGTGCTGCTCGAACGTGGTAGAGAAGACCACCACATCATCAAGGTAGACAAGACAAGTCTGCCACTTCAGCCCTGTGAGGACAGTGTCCATCATTCGCTGGAAAGTTGCCGGCGCTGAACACAAGCCGAAAGGGAGTACTCGAAATTGGTATAGACCGTCTGGAGTCACGAAGGCTGTCTTTTCGCGGTCTCGCTGATCTACCTCGATTTGCCAGTACCCGCTTTTGAGATCGAGAGAAGTGAAATAATGGGCACGACGAAGTCTATCTAGCGAATCGTCGATACGTGGTAGCGGGTACACATCCTTTTTGGTCACGTTGTTAAGCTTTCGGTAATCGACGCAGACGCGTAGTGACCCGTCCTTCTTTTTGACAAGCACGACTGGAGATGACCACGGGCTGTTGGATGGTTCGATGTTCGATAACGCCATCGTCAAGCATCTCGCGAACTTGCGTACGTATCGCTTCACGTTCTTTAGCCGACACGCGGTAGGGGTGCTGGTGTATTGGGCGTGCGTCCTCGTACGTGATGATCCTGTGTTGCGTGATGGACGTCTGGCGGATCTTTGAGCAACTTGCGAAGCAAGACCTGTACTCGAACAAGAGCGCTTGCAGCGCAGTCTGGTTATCGGTGGACAGATCAGGATTGATGTCAATGTTGCTCATTGATGTGTCTGCGTTATTCACTATTTCTGACGTGAGACAGTTGGTTACGTTTGCTACTTCGTGGGCAAACGCTATCGAAGTGCCACGGAAAAGGTGTCGATGCTCGTTGCTAAAGTTGGTAACGAGCAATTCAGATCGGCCGTCACGAACGTGTATTACACTTCTCGCTACACATATGCCTTGCTGCAGGAGGTGTTCTAAATTTGTCTCGGCCACCACATCGCCATCGCTCAAACGACAGCATGTTACGTCGACTAGAACACTGGCTCGGGGAGAAAGCGTCACGCTCTGTTCAGAAATACGGAGTACGTCGACACGCATGTCGTCATCCTGCACGTTGATTGCTCGCTGGGCTGAGAACGTGACGCGGCGCTCTTGCAGATCAATGATAGCTCCATTTTCCTGTAGAAAATCAACTCCCAGAATGACGTCACGGGAGCATTCACGTAGAACAAGGCAGCTTGCTACGAATGTGTACCCTTGAATCTGTACTCTAGTTGTGCAGGCGCCCAGTGGAGTAACGACATGGCCACCAGCTGTCCGAATCTGCGAGTTATGCCACGGCGTGATTACTTTCTTCAGCTGCGTTGTGAGTTTCCCGCTCAGTATGGAATAGTCTGCGCCGTTGTCCACTAACGCATTAACTACACAACCATCAATTGTTACTGGTATGTCGAGTGAAAGCCGGCTATCCTTTGCAGCAGCAGGTGATGTCGGACCAGTTTCTGTACGGTTCTGCGTCAATAGGAGGTCTTCAGCGCTTCGACGTTCAGCGACCCCGCCCCCAGAGGTCGCTTCGGCTAGTTCTCCCGGCGGGGGCTGGGAGATCGTGCGGTAGAATACCGCTGGGGCGTTGATGAGAATCGCCTCGGTGATGGCGAGCGCGACTGGCGCCCGGCAGACGGTGGTGCATGCTGCTGGGAGAGGTAGTTTTGGATGTCGCGTGGTCTCTGACCGTAACGGGGTGGCGGCGCGTACGCAGAGAAGCCGCGAAGCCCAAGACGGCGATAAGGGCACTTGCGGTACAAGTGATCAGCTTCTCCGCAGTGAAAGCATAGAGGCCGATGATCGGGTGTGCGCCAGACATCAGGCTTCCGAGGAGACGAGTTGCGATCGTCGATGTACTGGACCGGTTGCACCGAACGATGGGCGACAGAAGCACCACGGACAAAGGGCAGGGGCCGTGGCGTGTACGTGCCTTCGTAGTATGGTATGTGCTGCGCTGACTCGAGTGAAACTGCAGGGACAGGATGAACGAACAATGGCGGCAATGCAGCAGGGCGCTTCAAGGCTTCCGCGTAGGTTGTTGTCCCACGGTGGTATTCAGCAGGAGCTGACGCAGCTGTATCAGGAGGCAAAGTGTCCCGGAGGGCCTGGTGCAGCTCATCCTTGATCACAGTTGCAATAGAGCTGACCGTAGGATGAGGTGTTACACCAGCCTTTTGCAACTCTTCACGTACGATATTACGGATGAGTTCACGTAAGGAGTCATTGCTGGTCTCAGCGGTGGCGAAAATGTCAGCAGTGGACATGCCACTGAATCGCCTGTCGTAGAGGTTTGATCGCTGCTGCAGCATTTTTTCCATTGTCACGGCTTCAGACAAGAACTCCGCGACCGTCTTCGGAGGGCTTCGCACGAGGCCGGCGAAAAAGCTGGTCCTTGACACCGCGCATCAAGTGACGCAACTTCTTGTCCTCCGTCATTCTTGAATCTGCCCGTCTGAAGAGACGCGTCATGTCTTCGACGTACGCGGTCACAGTTTCGTTCGGCGACTGGACGCGGGCAAGAATAGCTCGTTCAGCTCTTTCTTGGCGGTCAGCGCTGGCATATGTCTGCAGAAGTCTACGAAAGAATTCGGGCCATGTCGTCAGCTGCTCCTCTCGATTTTGATACCACGTGCGAGCCCCGTCTTCGAGATAGAAGTAGACACGACCCAGTTTCGCCGCGTCGTCCCACTGATTCAAGTTGGCTACGCACTCGAAGTCCGCCCACCAGTCCTCAACGTCTTCGTGCTCCGTACCATGGAACGTCGTCGGTGCCCGTGGGCTTTCCAACGTATAGCGGTTCGATGACGTGCTTCCCGTGCCGGTTGGCAAGGTTTGTACCGAAGTGCTGGTCATGTTTGTTGACGTGATGGAAGCAGTATCGTTGACTTCTGGAGGCAATCCCCTGATTCGGCGGCTGGTCTGATGCACGGGAGTATTGACTGGCACTGGACTCGTATTACGGCTTCCTGGGGGGGTCTGCAGCATCCGTGAGACCACCCAGCACCTTCCACCAGTTTGTCACGATGAGTCACAAGTACTGAGGGGATTTATTGAACGACCGGGTAGCTAGCTCTAAGATGATGCGTCAGTCGTGGCTGGCTCTCGAGCAGAGAAGAAGACACGCGATCTTCTTTTTCCCCGAGATTGAGAGCCGCTCTTGCTGTCGACCCACTACGTGCTGGTGGCAATATGTAAATATGTGAAATGTGAACAGTCTTGACATGCAAGGCAACAAAACAAAGAATTCGGCGTGGCACAATGGTTAGTGGGTTCAGTTGAGGATCCAGAGATGGCAGGTTCAATTCAGCGCTGTCGTACCTTTTTCTTTTTTACGGTTGCTTTCTACATTTTTTATACAACTATTTTTATTATTTCCTTAGTGGCAGCTCGTCACGGTGGTCCTGACGCTGCTTACGCTCCAGCATTGCCGGCTGGAGCGCGCCATCCGCCATCCCCTCCACCATACGCCTCCATACATCATGTGCCACTAACAATCTCCTCCCCCTAATCCACGAAAATGGTGGATAGTGGAATACACCGTTCCTATGGTGGACGTTTTTTTTTCAATAGGGATAATACTAAGTAGGGACAAAGGAGAGTGCATGAGAGGTGGTAATGTTTCGTCGCCTTTTCTTTTTGGTTATACATTGTTAATAACTCCTTAGTAACTCGCAATGTTGCTTGCTTAGCTCTTAGACATACTAAGCTGGTACTTTGAACCATTTATCAAAGTTCTCAGTGCCCCTCGTCAAGCACCTTGCACACACCCGGCCACGTTTGATGTTCTCATTTCCTAGGAGTGAACTGTCTGCACTCAATACTGCTCGGAAGAGGTGGAAATTTCTGCACGGTTTAGTTGCATGTTCTACGAGATGCACCAGAAAATTAGTCGAGCGCCTGAAATACCTCATCAGGCACTTTTTCCACACTATACGGTGCCTTTATGGCTTAGTGACACAGCCCAGAGGTTGCAGTCAGCTGATCCGTCGAAGCTATCGAGGAAAGACTGCAGGGTCACTTTTTAGAGATGTGCGACTCTTCGAACCTGTCATCGGTCAGTGTGGTGCCGTATCGTGTGCTGTGTTCTTCAACTCATCGCCTACGGACGAGCTCGGTGCACCACTTCTCTCTTTTTTTAGGTGGGGACTAACGCGGCTTGTGACCTTCCACTAATGGGAGTGAAGAGAGGACAACTTGTTGATTGTAGTGTTCTGAACTCGATCGTTTCGTCGAACGGAAAGTGTGGAGACATCCACGGTAATATAAAGCGAGTGTCGAGGCGCTCCAACCAGCACGCTACCACTAGTCGCCTAAATAAGCAATATTATCCGCTCAGGGTCATATGCACTACTTGTCTGTGAGGCCTGGCTGCTTCTGGTTTTGTGGGCGACCCCCGACTATGACAGTGCCATGCTTTTTTTATGTTTTTTATATCATACTAGGCATCTTACTCACAAAACCAGGCCTGTACGCTTCACAAGTTACTAGACACCATGCACGTTCCCCCATATTCGTTTTCAAGGCAGCGTGATAATGCATATATTCGTTTACCCTAAACGTGTTCTGAAGTCCAATCGCATCCATCATGGCCGCGAGTGGAATTGGAAGAAGAGCTGTGAACACAGAGCTTCCGGCGGTGGCAATTCCATTCGCGAGGCCCAACCTGCGGTTGAAGTAGTGTGCCAGTACAGCAAGAGAGGGCGCGTACGCCATCGTAGATCCTACTCCCAGCAGGCCACCGTATGTGATCCACAAGTATGGTACCTGTATAGAAAAGTTATCTTTCACACAGTGTTCCACACAGAACAATGGTCACGTGAGCGGCGCAGACACAAGGGGGAATAGGTGCATTTCCTTCCTAGTATATACTGTATTCCGATGAGAAGCTTCACTTGATGCGGACTTTAAACGATGTTCTAACAGATCAGTTCATCGTAAGTGAAGCCATTGTTCGTGCAAGAAAATGCTAGCCATTTTATGCTCACAAATGTAATCAGTAAGAATTCTCTAAATAGGAGAAGAGGACAGTGGTAAAATAAATGCAGGGAGGTCAATGAAGGTCGACCGCAATTGGTTACCTTGTACTAGGGATGGAAAAGGAAATGCTTGAGTAAAGAATAGAGCCGTTTCAGTTGTTAGCACCGAAGTAATAACAGTTTCAAGCTTCATAACACAAATGATTCGGTAGGCTTAAGAAGTACTAGGGGGCTTATTCTTTTGTACTTCGCAGCTTTTGAAGCACCTTCGCTGGAAGCAAAACTTTTTTCGATGGTGAGTGCATTTAAATTTTTTGCATGTAAAGTTGAGCAGAGGTTTAGCCTCGGCTTCGGCAATTACGTAGTTTTTCCGTGTGGTAGATACAGCGAAGCATGAACTGCTGGGCGAGTTGCTAACTCAACTGAGTTGTGCGAAAAAAGTTTAAGTACAAAAAGTGTCTAGGTGTCTTTCTTTTGTACTTGACTTTTTTTTCGCGCAACTCAGTTAGGGTAGATATAGCGTTGGGTTGTTGTCACCTTGGCGTAGAATTCGCCAAAATATTTTCATTAAAGACTGAGATATGGGATACCGTAGATTGTGTTACCTACGTTGTTGAATAGACTTTATTATTCCTCCTTCTTCTATTGAAAATTTTTTGCCGGCTAAACATACTGCTGCAGTATATTAACTTCGCAAAAACTTCGTAGACAAACACGTTGGCCAAGTAGCAAGAGAACTTCCAAATGCATGCATCGTAAATACGCGTTACCAGTATAGGTTATTGAAAAAAGAACGTCAGTATCATTAATTATTTTTCAGTGTCCCCATTTTTTACATAACGTTTTTCATGCACTGCTAGTCAACATGTCATAAAATTGTACGTTAGGAAAGTAGCTTCTGATGATGATCAGTTAGGACGGAAACTTTAAACAGAGAGAGTGGACACATTTATGTGGGAGGTCTTAATTAGAGCTCTTTATCTCTTTCTGCGTTCTCCTGAAAACGACTGCAAGAAGGAGGGAGAGTTGCAGGAACTTTTTTGGGATTAGCAATAAATGTGATGACCAGGACAGATGTGGAGCATTCTCGCATGTTAGTAATTTCAAAAGTGGCCAAAAAAAGTCCTTCACGTTACACTAAATTTGGCTCTTATGGAAACAAAATGTTTTACATTTCGGTAGTGTCCCGGGAGTTGCTTCTCTCCCAATTGTAAAAAAAATGGCAGCATATCCACGGAGTGAATGATGGATAGTGGGGCGAAGCACCCGTCCCTCCATCAGTTCTTGCTTCCGTCAATCCATGCGTGCGTCTGTGTGGCCGCCCGTGTGTCCATCCACCCGTCCGTGTGTGCGTCTGTTCGTGCGCCCGCACGTTTATCTGTGCGTCCATCCCTGCTTTCGTCCAGAGGAGGCACACGCACACTTTCTTACGGCTTGCTCTTCGTGTCTACTTCCCACCTTTAAACACTTCGAGTTCATGGTATATACTAGTTCACTGTATTCATGGCACTGCGCCCCAACGCTCACTAAACCTTTTAAAACCTAAAAGGTTACGCCCAGGGAGTGTAACGTAGCAACCCTTTCTTGTATTCTGTGCGTTGTTGAACAACTAAAAATTCGCAGCATGCACGTTAACTAAAAGCCAAATTCTCCTGTCTCTCATTCCTACTTAGCAGCCATTGGCATGTACATTGAGCACTATCTTTTATTGTTCAACAACGCACAGAAGAAATCTATCACCGGCACCACCTTGGAGGTCAAAATGTTATACTTGTTACACACTACTACAATGGCTACGAGGGACGAACTGGTGCTCTTATAAGAAGCTTCGCCCGTAAAATTATCGTGAAGAGAACGTTTTCTGCAGTTACATATAGGGATGTTGTCACGACTAGCGAATAATTTGGCGCTATACGTTAACACTACACGCTTATCCACTAATTCTCATCCTTCGTACTTCCATTTTTTTACAACAGATCCCTGAATAAGTGTTTTCTCTTTATTGATAATGTATTAAATATTTCCAAATAATGATCTCTCACTCGCACTTTCGCCGCTCCTGGCATTATTCGCATGGCGAATATCATTCACAAAGCTTTGTTAGTGTCTTGAATCCCGGTTTTTACAAACGGAGGTGTGCCGCGTCCACGTCGGGGCCGCCAAGCCGAGCCTTATCGCGTCATCGGGGACCTTTTGGATTGTCCGTAGCTTATCTTGATAAAACGCACTCTGTACCATTATCTGCAAGTAAAGCCATTGTTCTTCGGGGTCGGCGAGAGTCACGGGACAGCCCGCCAGCATCTGTCTGATCCGAAAGATGCCATCCCACGCGTCACACTCGTCTGAAATTTGACTGTCAGGGTGAACTTTATTGTGAAAATTCGCAGGGGGTAAGTTCCGATTCGCAGTAAGCGTAGCGTGACTGCCTGAGCACTGTTCAACTTTACGTGTGGCAGTGGGAATGGTCTACGCCTCAAATAATATTATTTTGTGATGTCGTTGTATGTAAATAAATTATCTTTATGATCCCCGGAATGGTAGCGGGCTGTCGGGCCGAGTGTTTGCCTTCTTTTTTTTAATTTTTGTGTCATCACGGTAGTCTTTAAGTACAAGCTTACTGTTTCTCTCCTAAAACAATGAATACGTGATATAGGGAGATGAGTCAGCAGTGCGGGCAGAAAGATCCACAAGCTTATACACCTGTCTAAGCTGACTCAAAGGTGAAAACTAGAGTAATTTTTCATGTTTGCAGTCTATTGCGATCTTTTGACCCTGTCGAAAGCCTTCTGCAGTCTACCTTTTTTGTACACTGCCTCTGAGACCAGATACAGTGGAACTTTTCTGCACCTCATATATAGTAGAACCTCCGTAATTCAGAAACCCTTGTTCTAGCGACCATAATATGTGACGACGTCATCGAACCGTCACAAATTTAGCCCATATAGAACGTCATGACGGCATGGTAGTATGACGTGCTCACGTCTCGGGGTTATGTCCTTGGGATACCCAGCAAATTCTCGGCGTTTTATCCGATATCTAAGGCTGCCACCTCCAATTTACGTTAAGCAAAGCACTTGGAGCTCTTCCGAAGTGAACAGCTTTGAACTGGTTGATGTTGCATCAATAAAGGGTTGCTGTGCTTGCGAAGGCAAGTGCGCGAGTGAATGGCACAAAATGTGGCACCTGCCGGTCACATCTTACTTTGTGGCTCCTCTCAAAAGTGGCAACTGCAACAAGGAACCAGAACCGTTGTTGTCGCATACACCAAGATAGCTCTTTCAAAGAACAGCTCTACTTCTACCAGATTTAGAAGCTTTGCAGGTCATTCGCGAATGAAGTGATAAGCCGTTTCACTTGCGGAAATGGATACCAGATAGATTTCTTCGTGGATGCATCACGTTTTGGTTGTAAAGGTCAACATTAAAAGGACCTGAGAATGGCTCATTGTTAATTTTTGTTATGCATGATGGCGATGATTATTAAACTAGTTGAAGATACTTATCCCGTTCCTCACAATGATGTTTAACTCTATACGTTACAATGAAAATCCCATTACAGGGTAGAATACCGAATACTAGCATCAGAATAATTTGCCTGCCTTCCTGTTCTCTCTCTCTCTCTCTCTCTTTGTTCTCATTGGAGCCTCTCACTGAGAGAAATGCTCAAGCTTGTTAATTATTGGAGAAGACGCCAGAAGCTAAAATTTTGCATTTACGTGCTGCCAGCAGGCGATCTTCGCTACCGACCGGCTTACCTTCAGCTTCGAGTAGGAGTGAACATGTGCTTTTTTTTCTTGGCGGCGCATGATTCCCACAACTTTTGCTATAGAAATTTTATATGCTAACTAAGAATACCTCGTTCTTAGACAGCCGTATATGAATACATCCAACGGTATGGGAGTATACGTGTACCTGCTTTTTCGTTTATTCAGTACTGTCGGTGGTACTACAATACACTTCTTTATGGGCTTGAAGACTATTCACTTGTGTAACTATTTGCGTCTCGTAAGTGACGTCTTAGACCCTAACCGCTTTCTGAAAACCGTTTCCTTTGTATATAAAATAGCATGAAAATATAGACAAAAACGTAAGGAGACGCGACGCGGCACTGAATTCAGAACTAAAATTTGCCGAATGTATAACACAGCATGAAATGGTAGTTCAAGAAGAAAAAAAGATTGCAAGCTATTCAAGCTGAACCAACCACAACGTAGCCTTCAAGCGTGTGCTGCACTGTACAGTTCCGCAATCTGTACATGTCACATACTTGCCTTGTATGCCCAAGAGCTTAGTAGGAGCCCTATGGATCCAATGAGGCCACCGCAGATCACGGTTATCCGAGCTCCAAACTTGTCGGCCAGAAGACTCGCCACTGGCGACAGGGCGAACGTCGAGCCAACGCATAGTGAACCCACTAGTGCTACGATAGAAAAAAGAAAAGCGCATTCAGCACTAAACAAAGATCAAGGAATGCTTTTCAAATGAACACAATTGATGCGCATCACCGCCAAGTAACGACAGATTGCTCGCTCCACACTGCATATAGCAACAACTTACCATCAAAACAACATGCCACCTTGGTGCCAAGTCAAAATGAAATTGAAAACGCGTTACAGAAGTGACACGCGTTAAGAACGCAGTAAAGTTCACATCGATGGCACTGGCCTAGACTCGGGCATCCATTCTTACATATAAAACATTGCTTTTTACTTTACTATTCATCCACTTAACGCGATATACACAACTACTGTTTTCATTACAGTACTGCTCCCTCTCTTAAGGAGAGTCCGGCTTCTGTTTCCTTCTTCCAACTCTTTCTGAAGGCTTCTTCGCTATACGTACTAGTGTCGATGCCACTCTGCTACGACTCTTACTTCGGAGTGAGCGGTATTGTAAATAATTAAATAAAATGGGCGAGTATCGGCCATGCTTCCGACAAGGCCGTAACAGTTGCGGGCTCACACTGTTCCATCTGGTAATGTTGCGGTAGCAGTTATACGGACACTCTCTGCTGGGTTTTGCCCCCGGCGTCGACGCCACCATCACTCACTGCATGTAAACGCAAGAAATAAAAATAATCTAAAAATGGTCTCCGGCGCGCGGAATCGAACGTGGGACCTCTGCGTCGTGAGCGTGAAGCGTCAACTACTGAGCCCCCTAGGAGCGCTTCCCTGAACGTTCAAAAGGCAGGGTATCTATCATTTATTGCTGCTAGCTGGCATCTTGACAGAAACTATCGTGTTTTCAGCATTGCAAGCAAGATGGCTTAATGAGCACCTGTCGCAAAATTGTTCTCAACCCACGCGTACTTCGCGCCGCGGAGAATAAAGGGACGACGCTCAATCACGCGCCCATATCTCGCGGTTGGGAGGATCGTACGACTTGGCTGGACTTGGACGATTCCGTTGTAGTTACTAGGCGCACAAAGTTCACTGCAATCGTTGCACAGTCTCAGTTTGCAAAGTGGTGCGCTCTTCAGACAAAGTGAAGTAATAACTGAAATGCTTTTTCGCGTTCATCTGTACTTGTGAGTACGTTTCGTGCGTCATTTGTGCGTCAGAATCACGGGGAATGTTTAGATCTGCTTGACATTCTGTGCGTTACCTTCCAATTTGTTGCTATCGCGTTAATTGTTTCGCCTTTGCGGCAAAGCTGTGACATTTTACCGTTATTTGACAGTAAATACGAACGTAAGCCATCTAAAGTGTACTGACACGAAATTTGAATATTTTGGCTTGATGCAATCGAAACCGAGGTGATTGTAGCCCTTAATACAGTATCGTAATTTGTAAACGTATTCAACTTATCTTTGTTACCACTACCTTTAAAAAGCACTTTCGGTTTCGCCATCGAGGTGACGGCTTCGCAGTTTCGTAACAACGCAATTTTGACAGCTGGGAACTCTCGAAGTACTAGCAGAAGCTTTTGTTTTTTAGTTTTACAGTCTTACAGATGCAGAGTTACGTGAACACTAAAATAAATGAAAACTATTTCATACGTGCTGTCTGGCACCGCTGGGTGGATACCGTTGATATTGCGTGTCATGAAAACAAAAAAAAATGTCCTTCTTGAACTGCCTACGAAAGTGCTCTTTAGTGCTTAATGAATGCGCCGCTAAAGTTATAAATATTGTTTCGTATTGAAACAAGGATGTATATGTAGCATGTATAACGAACAATCTCGAGAGAAATTCAAGAAACAGCGCCCTGAGAGCTGCCGTTCAGTGCTTCTATTTAAAGTTTCGTCGGATGTCATGAAGTCATTTCCAGGAATTCGTATGAAATGGTAGAGCTGTTGCACCACAATCCACACAATGCCTATTGAGATGCTGTGTTTCGTCTCGTTTTACGGTATGCTAAAGCGCCTTTTTGTTTAAGCTATCACACCATAGTAAACAACCTTTCTTTTTTTTTGTAAATTACACAAGATGCCTGTGCTCCAATATCCGCATTAAAGCACTCGAGTAGTTCACCAAGTCGCTCAGTTACCGGCACCGGGCTCTAAGGGCCTTAGCGTGTCAATTTTTGAGACTATAACCGTTTAGCGCTGTTACTAGTAAAGCGCTCAACCAGCCGCGCTGCTCCAGTCACGGGGCACTGATCAGTGCTGCGTATTCAACTGTGCACAATCGTAAATATGCTTGCCCAAAGCTTGTTCATTGGACTTATGAGTGTAAAGTTTATTGCAATCTCTAGACATAGTTTCCGTCTAAACTTTTCGTTAGATAAACCACAAACACGATTTCATGTTTTAACGAGAGGATAGCTATATTTGCTGAGATGTACTAATTGGGAGCACCCAAGTTTTAAGATGAAAATGTTTTATGCTGGGGTCCACCAAGGCTCAAATTTCATTGTAGTTTTATTTACCCAGTCTATTTGCGTAATAGTCCCTACGGACAACTATGGCGCAAGTGACCCTTGTTGTGATCTCATAACTGCTTTCACTGTGAAAGTAATCGGAAACGGCAGAACAGCGCACAAAGTGGGTGCATGTTATGTAGGCACGCCGCTGCGGGCATAGAAGAGTCCGTGCCATGACGTTGCCAATGCCTGCTTTCAGGTGGCGCCAGCCCGCATGATGGACCTAATTTAATTTATACGATAGTGCTCAGGTGCACCACCACTCCGTTGACGCATTTCTGTCACGGATATTACCTTGGAAAGTATATACCAACAGACGGCGAAAAAAAAAAACTGGAAAGAACGGTTCCATCGCGAGGCGTCAAACCACCGACCTCTCGCTCCAAATTCGCTGCGTTAATCAATACGCCACAAAGCGTACGTTGTCAGGGTTCCTAACGGCAAACTATTCATATACACCATGTACTGTTTCGTCGTCCTCAGAGCTCCACAACTTCATTGCCTTTTCGTCACCAAGAGCAAGATGGCGTGAAGGGCTTCCATTAGGTACAGAGCCTTCATGTGCGCGCGTATCCGTATTTTATGGTGGTGACAACTTTGATCATGGTTGCTTAAAACTGGCTAGAACAGCCGCCATACTTGATGGGCCGCCATGGTGGTTCTCAATGGTCACTCATTTGCATTGAAGGCAGCATGGGTTTCCATAAAAAGGGGGTGGTTCTTGTTTTTTATATGGCAAGTTCTGAAAGCTGAAGGGTCGGTTTCTGAAATTAGCCGCTGTTTTGTAGAACAAAAAAAACATGTTCGTGACTCGAGTTTGTATCAAATAATGTTAAAATAGTTCATTTCTCTCACCTGGTAAAACCATCGCATTGGCGGAATGAGTATATTTAGGGAGCCTGTATTTGCGAGTGGGAGAAGCTCGATGCCACTGTGAACGGACTTTAATGTCTGCGCCACATTTTGGAAGCAAATTCAACTTACCACTGCAGACACCTAAAAGCCTTCTAAGGATCGAGACGGTGCTGTATTATACAACGGTACCCATAACGACAGGAAAGGCAGATCAAACAACCGGGTAGCTCCAATGTTCTCTGTAAACCGCATAACTCCGCTAGCCTGTTTCTCATACCCTGAATATTGCTTTTGTCCGTAATATAATTTTCTGCAGCAAGTTTACTTCCTGAGAATAAATTTGTACAATGCACTGCTTAAAAACTTTACAAGCTGGAACCATTGTCAGAAAATAGTAGGGCACTCAATCTTGTTACACCAACCCTTCTCCTTCCCCCGAAAGCCTGCATATTAGGCTAGGGGTAAAGCAAAGAGGATCAACAAGGGACAAACCAAGTTTTTCCAGGTCACATTTTATTGCGAACAACATCCAAACAGCATCTGGCCTTAATTTATTCAAACCATCTTGCCTCCTTTGGTGGAAGCTTGTGTCCTCGCAGAGGGCCTAGAATAAAGCATTGTGGAAGGTACATCTAAGGTGAAGTCAAACGCAGTTCATACCGCAGCTTGCTCATCCGCGCCAACGTGCAGCTGTCGCAGTGCGGTGGAGCAGAAACACCTGGCCGCGAGAACCAACATGGCGCTTCTTGTCAAGGAAACGGAACCAGGATTGGCAACATTGTATTTTAGCGGGCGGCTGTAAGTGATGGGTCAAAGGCTGACACCAGCCTAAAACACGGAGACACGCGCAAATGGAGGCTCAATAGCGTTAGGTAAAGTATTGGGCACGCTATGAAGGAGGCCGCCTCTGGCGTTTCCCTGAACGCCACCTTCACAGAGGGGGGTTTCTTCTGCGCGCGCGCTTATCAAACATTTCATTCGGGAGAGCACAAAGGTCACTTCAGGCTGCCGCGGCCGCGTTTACGAAAAAACCACGCCGCTCGCGCACGGAGGAATAAGCATTGTGACACTTGTTCGCGCTTGTCGTCTTTATGCTTGTGCGTTCGTTTCAGGCGTATTTCTTTCGGTTTGAACAGTGTGCTTTGGGTGTCGAGCTGTGACAGTTATTTCAAGTTTCTCCTGTACATGCTCCTTTCATGCGTGCATTCTGCTTTAGGTGCGCGCTGCAAGTTTTGAGCTGCTCACCGTTTTTACGTGATTTCGCGATTTGCTGCTGTAGTACTCATTCTTTCATCATCGTAGCGAGACAATGCACAGCGAACGATTAACTACCTCCGTAAAGGCAAGTTCGACTTTCGTGTTATAATGACTTCTTAAAAGAGGGATCAGCGACGTTTTACCATGAAAGCTGTTATGAGATCACAACAAGAGCACGTGCGCCATAGTTTCCCGCCGGTGTCCGTAACAACTCTTGCAAGAAAAAAAAATAATAAATGGACAACATTAAGGACAAAATTGGAATCAATAAGAGCCCACTGGGTGTCAGCCTGGTATTTTAGAACTGAGCAACACTGGTGCTTCACACTCGCTTGCCAACAGACCCTAGGCAGGCTTCATGACGGGAAAGGAATCGCGGTAATATCAGTACTAATGCATTTTACAAGAGCAACGAAATAACCAGGCGTCACAGAATTCAAATTGT